ATCCAAAAGTAGTTGACCACAACTGACGCAGTGCATTCCAGCATCATAACCGCGCTGAATTCTGGTTGTGCTTATCTTGCGGCAAATCATTTCACCAGGGTTTTATGCCTTTTAAAGTTTGACCTGACATCTTCGGAATGTGGCAAAAGTTTTTTTCCCATGTCAGCAGTGCTCATAGGAGATTAAGGTGTTCATAAAACGTGTGCACAAACGTGAGGAGTGCACATGCGTGACGACGACTCGGTACCTGAATTGATAAGCGCTTTGTGCTAATGGAAAGGTCCGCTTTTAAGCCCATAAAGCTACCATTAATCGCATAAGTGAGTGAACCAAGTCGAGCGGTGGTGAACCCGCCAAAAACATATCTTTGTTGTTGTGCAAGCAACGGTGAATTTTAGGATCCACATTCGTAGGGCACCAACATACACGAATAGCGTTAGTATACGAAATGTGTGATGGCAGACCGAAGTGACCATGACATTCTATGTGTAGTGACATATTCTTCAGCCGTACTCAATATTATCGGAGATGCGCAACAGTGAGCATTCGACAGGCTGTGGCTTGTAGATCAGACGGGAAGCGTGCTGTATCGTAGCGCTGCGGCAGTGGTAATATAGTCAAAATGCGACAGAGACATAGACAGCGTTACTGGCTTGAAATTTCCGAAATGCAGAATGATACAAGCGGTGATAACGAATACAAATGGTGATAATCAATACAAACGGTGATAACCAATGCAGGTGGTGACAACAAATACAAGTGGTGAAAACAAATACAATTGATGATAGCGAATACAAATGGTGATAGCGAATGCAAGTGGTGATGACGAAACGAGAGCCCAGCACACTCCGTCGTTTCAACTATACATGGGTTCATTTGCACGCCGTATGATAAAAGGCCGGCTCGTTTTGTTAGCTATGCACTCCAGTGCTACCACTACGTCCTGGATTGATTTGAAGGTGCCTCAAAAATGCGTAGAAGTGAGGGACCGGGACCGTACATTTGGAGCCATCACCAAAGTCGGGCTAGCACTATTGCTTTGGCTTAAGCCACCGGTGTGTGGGTAGACAATACAAGTTCACGGCCAGTGTTTGGGAGCATGCGTGTCCAGAAAGGGCAAATTGTCTGCTTTATTATACTTGGCAAGTACTGTCTGGCATGGACAATATTTTGTACAGACCGTAACAGGCTGCGTTGCAAAACAAGATTATTCGACAGCGGATCACACGCAGCCAAACAGAGTGAACACGGGCGGTGAAAGTGAAGAAGAGGGCACATAGGAAGCTGCCCCATTGTCTCTCCCTCCCCCCCCCCCCCCCCGGAAAACCGCAGTCACAAGTGTTGAGTGAGTGTCATTAGGGTGGGCAGCGGCATCCACGTCCACAAAATCTAACAGAAGAATCATGGCGTTGCACGGAGAGAACCGAGTGTTGCGTGCACAACTGTTGCGTCTGCGTGCACCGTGGGTGGCACCAGAAAAGCGCCGACTGATAGTGCGACCAAAAAAAAACACACCAGCAAATGGCACCGTCTCGATGCGCGGCCATAATTGATGTTCATTGAACCCTTTTGCTCTGGAGGTCAGATGACGTGGCGAGTTGCGCGAGGCTTGACGTGCGGCGCTGGAAGCCGCCTGTTCCATGAGCGGCAATATTAGGAGCAACTTTATTAAGACAGTAACATTTCCTTGTTTTACCGAATTTTTCTGTCGCATGAATGTAGTATTCGCGTAATAAACGCTGTGCAATTCATGCTGAGGCAATTTAGGACGAGTCAAGTCGAGTTGGACATATACGGGACGTCGCTGAAGTATTTAGTTGTATGCGGTGTTGAAATGGTTCGTCTGATTCCAAATGCATTGTGGTAGTTAAGTATTGCTGTTGGTAGTATTGTATAAGTATTAAGTGTAGTTGGTATGTGAAGTGACATGTGCTGATAAGTTCGCCGTCACATCTTGATGTATTGCATTTTGGCTCCATATGTCAGTATGCTTGCTTCGCTTGGTGACAGTTTTGTGTTTGTTTCAGAAATACAAATATAACAGAGGACACAGATGCCTCAAAGTCCATTTCTATCTGCTGTCGATAACACCGAGGAACAAAGAGCGTTTGCTTCCATAACTTCTTAGAGGATTCGTCGCCACCGGAAGCAGTTGGACACAAGGCTGACAGAATCCAGAGAAATAGGATATCCCACTTGTTATTGGATGTCACTTGTTCGATGTCATATTTTTCATGCTCGGAACAATATATCTTGCCTTGACCCTTGGGCGCTCCCTGGATTCGCCGCATACTTACCCAGACCGTCTTATCTTGCTTGCGGTCGCAGCTGTTCAGAAAATTGAGCCTCTAAAAATATCACAAGCATCAATAGCGCCTGGTGGTCGTATCCCTGCCGAACTTCCGTGTCACGTCTACACTTTCCAGCCAACGGACGTGGACACGCAAAATACAGCCGAGAACAAGAAGTACTATCTCACAGTACACAATTAATTTTCCTGACCTGTTTGCCTGTCTAACATGTGCTGTCTGACTTGTCTGCCAAAAACCTGTCCTACGTTTCCAAAGCGGCTTCTCGCTCGTTTTTGTTATTACTCTTTTCGTATTTAAGAACAGCGCTATCGCCTTAAAATGTTTGACTCCATTCTCAATGCATGCATCAATTGTGACTCATATTTCTGTTTGAACCTGCTCAGAAACGTATTTCGGGCGTGAGCCGCCGGTGGATCAATATTTTCACTGTTGGGAGGGAGGACTCGGTGGTCGCTGGTGTGAAATCATCGCCCCATCAATCTGACGCAACAATGGAGTGTTAGACGAAGCTACACATATCTGAGATGCTTTCTTATGCAGCACAACAGCTGAATGAAAAAACTCCATTAACCCAGGGTCAGGTATGAATGTCAGCCCAAGATAAAAACCAACCTGTTTTCTTGCTCTATGGCTTGCTGTGTGGGGCAGTTTCCGGTGCTCATGTGAAATTTGATAACACAAACCATATTTTAATCTCCCATGGACGTCTTAAAGGTCAGAACAGGTCACTAACCTAAAGTGACCCAGGTCATTATTTTGTTTTTAAGAACGCCTGTCTAGCCTTATCTTTATTGCTTATTCAACTGCAAAACTCAAAGCAGCCTCGTATGATATCGGTCACCATAGCCCTCGAAGGATCAAACAGGGTCACTGACCTCAAATGAGCGCGTGCTGTTTTGCTTGGAATGGGTATCTAGGTTCTGAGGACAATTCGTAGACCAACTGGGAAATTAACCTGTTTGACATTATTTGACCCAAAGGTTATGAACTAGGAACCTCAAACTTTGGTCTAAGTGAATTCTCGTACAGGCCAATACACACTGCGAATTTTGTATCTCTAACTCTCTTAGCTCCGGAGATCTGAGGAGGGTCAAATTGGCCCCCACTCGAACGGAGGGTATCTAGCCAGCTACCCGGACGCTAGTTAAAACATACTCTGAGCTCAAAGCAATTAGATATTTATGACTGAAAAAGACGTTCAACGCGCAGATTTCTGTGACATGCACCAAGTCTCATCAGGTTCCTACTGACCATCTCTAGTACGTACTTAAGCCGCAAACATGACAAAGCCTGATCAGAAGTTAAACGGTGCGCATTGAGACCTACGAGGTTTAAGTCATGGTGTCAGACTAGTACGGAGGCATAAGCTTTAGCGAGTGCATCGGGAGCGCAACTTAGCAGCAGTACCAGCAGCTAGGTGTCATCCACAGTTTTGTGGACCAGTCCGACCATGGCGAGCGTTGACAAAAGCACGCTCGATCTTTGGAGCGTGCTTGGAGGAGGTTTGTAGCTTTTTGAAAAACCAGAACGAGCATTTAAAGTGATTTTTAAGACATTTATGAAGCGTAACTTGTGGTGACAGCATTCACAGCCACAAACGTTGCATCTTTGCAAGTCTTATCACACGTTTTATCATCATTTGGTTAAAACATGCTTGAACGAGAACCAGTGCAGTCATCTGCAAGCCAGGAAGGGGACCGTGCCGTACTCGAGCAGCTTTATTCAGCGAGACGAAGCCCTGGCCTCACGCAGGAATAGTCCGATAGTTAAGATACACGTGGAAGAGCCGCTTCAGTTAACATCAAGGACATCGAATTGATAAGTTCCTGTCCTCAAGCGCAACGCTGTCCAACAAAAGTGTCCTCACTTACTGGGGACTTGGCATTGTATGATTTAGTGCTGTTAAGGCACACGCCAGTCGCTGCCAGAGCGTTAGTAAGCAGCGTCGTTCTCTCGACATTCGCAGAGTCGGTAAAACTGCTCCCCCGCCAGTTGGAGCGGCGAGACATTTGCACAGCAAGCCATCTCTTCACTTTGTCAGACAGTATTCAGGTGAGAGCAGAACCCTTGTAAAATGTAGTCATAGCCCTCCTTGTATCACGGCGCAGAGCGTTCTTGCAGCGGGCCGATTCCTACATAATGACGCATTTTGTCACAGCCCGAATCACAACAGTTTCCAGCACAGGCAGAACCGCTTGGGATGATCGTGCTGAGGATGTTGGACGAGTTGAACGTTGCCCGCTCCTCGTGCATGCGACGACCGAACAGCTTGTCGAGCTGGGGCGAGGCGTTGTGCTGCTCACCGCGGTAGTCGCCGAACATCTGCCGGGCCTCGTCCTCAGCACGCCGGTGCTGTGCCTGGAACGAGGTCTCGGTGACGGGCCCGCCGTTGAGGCACTCCTGCATGACGGTGCGATAGCGCTGGCGGGCCTGCTCCAGTGCGATTCGGTCTTGCTCGGCGGCGGCGCCCTGGCCGGCCCGCCGCTGCTCGTTGAACAGCGACATCTCGTCCCAGCGGCTCTCCAGGTCCGACAGCAGACGGCGGCGGTACCCGTCCGCCGTCGCTGGCCGACACTGAGCAGTAGCTGCGTTGAACACCTGCAGCGCCGCCTCATGGCCTTGGCGATGCGCCTCCAGCAGACGCTCCATCCTCCACCGGCGCCGTACTGCCGGCCAACAACGGGTTGACGCTGAGCCTGTACGTCTCTCTGGCGTCATCCAGCGCACTGTTGCAGCACAGTCCGTCTCGGGCCCTCTGCTAGCTCCTTCTTTATTTTGTTCGCCTGGAAAAACTGCTTTTTCCATCCGTCGATGCCGCTCATGAGCTTCTCCTTGTAAGCACCCGCGCCGGTGCTTAACATTTTCTTCTGGCTGTAAAAACATGCCAGCACCTTTTCAACGGTCCTCCGGTGGTATTGGTCCAAGTCGGCCTGCTCCACGGGCGGCGAGTTTTCGGGGCAGAGCTGGCGCATCTCCTCGGCGTACAGCGTGGTGCCGCGCGATACGCCGGCCAGGTGGTTGGCCTCAGACATCGTCTCTATCAGACTGCGCGGCTGCGGCAGCCGCCCGCTCTTGAACACCTCGTGAAGCACCTGAAAGTGCGTCACCAGATCAGCAGCCGTCAGCACCTGGCCGCCGGACTGCTTCTTCACCAGCTTCTCCGGACTGAGGATGAGCCCGGCCAGCTCATCTACGCTGCTCAGGAACTCGCGGTCGATGTCACGCGGGCAACCCTTGAACGACGGACTCGTGGCTACCAGCTTTCCCGGGTATGGCATCAGGAAGCAATCGACGTCCGAGAACGACCGGCGCACGTGGCAGCGCATCTTGCGCAGCTCGTCGGGCGCGCCGGGCGCCTCGCCTAGCGCCTCGCATAGCACCAGCTGGCCGCCAGCTTGGCCGTAGGCCGCCTCGCTGGGCGCCTGCCAGTCGCGCACCAGTAGGAGTAGGCGCTGGAACGGCGGCCCGCCGCCCGCCTCGCAAGCTACGCGGCCGTACTCCGCGAACAGCTGCAGGTGCTGCAGGTCGTCGGCGCCCACCGTCTTGGACACGTTGTAGATATGCAGCGAGCTGGTGAGTGCGCTGAGCGCGAACACGGCCGCGTTCTCACTGACCTCGGTGCGGTCATCAAAGGCGCCCTGCGTGTCCATCAGCACGACGGCCACGCGCTCGCCGGAGGGCAGGCTCACGCACGTCGGCCGCGACCACATGTGGATGCCGACCGTGTGCCGCTGGTGACCGCCGCGCCAGGCGAAGCCACTCAGCGGCCGGTCGTCGGCGCCGAGCCAGCCGGGCGCGCCGCCCGCCTCCAGGAAGCGCAGCAGCAGGCTGAGCAGGAACGACTTGCCGCGCCGGAAAGCGCCGGCAATAGCCACCACCACCACGGGCAGGTGTCGCACCTCGTCTTGCAACAGCACTGAGCGCAGCGCCGCCTCGTCCAGCACCAGCGCGCCGCGCTCGTCCGGCACCAGGATCGGCACGGCGTGGCCGGAGTCTGGCTCGTCCGCCCGGCTCGCGCGGGCCATGGTGGCCGCCTGCGGGAGGAGGCAGACACCGCGCCTGAGGTAGACGTGGTGGAGCCGCCGCGCTCTGGAACCCACTCGCATCCTTTAAGTTCCGCATGCATGAACATTGCAGAAAGGGAGGGGGGGGGGGAGGACTGAATCATTGCTTTCTAACACTGCGTTCTTTTTACAGCTATCTGCTTTTGAACAGGAAAAAGAGCGACTTAAGGCACACAAGCCCGGCGAAGGATGATGTGCTGGGTTTATCATTAGTGCTGCCCACACGCACTTTCACTTCAAATATGGTACAGGTGACCTAAACAGAGATATTGCACAAACCATAAATAACACGTAGTAGGACCATTCCTTTAATACTGTGCAATTAAACTGTAATGCTTAAACATAATGCAATCAAATTTGGAGGACAAAATGACTAGGAATCTACAGGCTTGGATAAATACAGTACAAGAGCAGAAAACACAACAAAAGACATAGATGCATCCCGTTGACGACAAAGTCGCCTTAGGCACCACAGGCTGCCTTAAACCAGTTCCAATTTTCAAAACGTCGAAGTCATCGAGCCAGTGCGGCTGGCGGGCCGCTCCTCCTGACAGGGCATCTGCTCGAGTCGCACCGGACTGGCTGGCGCAGGCCTGTCACGCCGACCTGCCGGCAGGCGGTCCGGCCGCCCCAGCCGGCTGCTGCTCGGCCGAGTTGGTCAGCAGCGGCGCACCGACTATCTGCAGTCGTTCACTCAAAGCCGCGACCATGGCCTCCATGCTCTCCCACACGGGGCCCGGCTCCGACAGGTCGGCACCAGGCACCGGCGTCGGGTCAGAGCTGAGGGGATGACGGCTCTCCTCGTCCATCGCTGCAGAACGAGGCGACGGATGACGTCAGATTAAAGGCAGACAGCCGGAGGAGCTTTGCGACGGCACCGTGCACAGGCGCCGATGACGTCAGATCAGGGGCACATAGCCGTAGGAGCTTTGCGACGGCACCGTACACAGGCGCTGATGAGTCCACAAAGCATTGACGGTATGGTTTTCCGCAGGGTCAAGAAACGATTTGAAAGAGAGAGAGAGGAGAGGAGAGAGAGAGAGAGAGAGAGAGAGAGAGAGAGAGAGAGAGAGAGAGAGAGAGAGAGAGAGAGAGAGAGAGAGAGAGAGAGAGAGAGAGAGAGAGAGAGAGAGAGAGAGAGAGAGAGAGAGAGAGAGAGAGAGAGAGAGAGAGAGAGAGAGAGAGAGAGAGAGAGAGAGAGAGAGAGAGAGAGAGAGAGAGAGAGAGAGAGAGAGAGGAGAGAGAGAGAGAGAGAGAGAGAGAGAGAGGAGAGAGAGAGAGAGAGAGAGAGAGAGAGAGAGAGAGAGAGAGAGAGAGAGAGAGAGAGAGAGAGAGAGAGAGAGAGAGAGAGAGAGAGAGAGAGAGAGATAGAGAGAGAGAGAGAGAGAGAGAGAGAGAGAGAGAGAGAGAGAGAGAGAGAGAGAGAGAGAGAGAGAGAGAGAGAGAGAGAGAGAGAGAGAGAGAGAGAGAGAGAGAGAAGAGAGAGAGAGAGAGAGAGAGAGAGAGAAGAGAGAGGAGAGAGAGAGAGAGAGAGAGAGAGAGAGAGAGAGATGAGAGAGAGAGAGAGAGAGAGAGAGAGAGAGAGAGAGGAGAGAGAGAGAGAGAGAGAGGAGAGAGAGAGGAGAGAGAGAGAGAGAGAGAGGCTAGTACCAGTAAAGCTCCTCTCTCTCTCTCTCTCTCTCTCTCTCTCTCTCTCTCTCTCTCTATCTCTCTCTCTCTCTCTCTCTCTCTCTCTCTAGTACCAAGGTAGCATCATAACGATGTAATAAGGATATTACGTTGATCATTTTGGAGTTCTAATTACGCTGTCAACGCTTTGTAACAGCACTGCATTTCTTTCTTTCTTGGTAGCCTCAAAGTGTGTCCCGACTTCGCGATAACCGCAACTGTCGCGACTGCTGTCGTCATGACGACGACATAATCTTCTGAGAGTCATTTCCAACTGTTACTGGTTAGAGGTCACACTGCCGTTCGCCGCTGATGAGCCGTTTTAACTGGCACATTGCAGGTCTACGGGGCTTTATGTGGCGTATCTACTAGTATGAATGATGTCATACAAATGAGCGATTTTTGAATGGCACAGCTGGTGGCAAGGGCCAGTTGCTGACAAGCGCATTGGTTGAAGCTTGAATCAAATGGAGCTTGAAAAGAGAATTTGAACTTGAATTCGTGGGATAAAAGCCTCATGTTTGCATACCGTCGTCTCGAAAAAAGAGTGTTTCAAGCTTTCGTAGCATTTAATACCAAAAGTTTTGGCAAATTAGTGTGCTGCAAGCAGTACAGGTCACACACGTTTGAAAAAGACAAATGACATGTATTACTTCATACTGTTGAACATGAAGTCAAATGATATTTCTCCCGCGGCAGCGGCTGCTTCAAATAGAAATTCTGAGCTAATCAAAAGGATTTCAAGAAAGCTGGTATCCCACCAAATCGGACGTGTCTGATCTAACAATAAGTGAAAAGTACTAAAAGATGTACCCTGAGATCCGAGCTCCGCCAATTGAGTTGGTGTCCCAGATACACCCCAAGAAGAGCGCTTTTAATTCCAAATTTGGGCACCAACAGAATCAGGTTATTCAGCCCCCTGCACGCATACATTGCGCAGGAATGGCGGACTAAATTGAGTTCGAATAGCAGTTATTGGCAAGTGGTTTATGGTAAGAGACATTCATTATCGAGTACGCTCTCCACATGAGATCGACACCTGTCTATTCGCCATTCATACGAGACAGCCAGCAGCGGATCGACCGGTGCTCTGAGTTACAACTGCCGGCATCGACGACCTTATCTTGAAAACAACGGACTTGTCTCCCGGCCGCGTAGCGAGTGGGCTTGGGCCGTGATGTCATGGTAAGGAATGGGCTTACCCTGAAGTAAGGAATGGACTTACCACAATGGGCTTGCATTGTCTTACGAGGAACGGGGCTCAGGGTGCGAACGGGGGCTCAGGGGTGCGAACGGGGCCCAGGGTGCGAACGGGGCTCAGGGTGCGAACGGGGCTCAGGGGCGAACGGGGCTCAGGGTGGCGAACGTGGTGCGAACGGCTCAGGGTGCGAACGGGGCTCAGGGTGCGAACGGGGCCCAGGGTGCGAACGGGGCCTCAGGGTGCGAACGGGGCCCAGGGTGCGAACGGGGCTCAGGGGTGCGAACGGGGCCCAGGGTGCGAACGGGGCTCAGGGTGCGAACGGGGCTCAGGGTGCGAACGGGGCTCAGGGCAACCTTCTGCCAAACGTCGGGAAACAACACCCCAAAACACCTCGTGGTAACGCCTATGCCATAAACTGTACACAGCTTAAGAGCTCAGTCGCCCTCGATACAACCACAAACTGACCTGAGCGTCTGGGGTGCCGCTGTACTGCCAGTCGCCCTCCCCCGGCGTCGCGCGCACCAACGGCGTAGCGGCCGATAACACGACTGAGCCGGGGGTCTGCCGCTAGGAGGCCTCACGGCCTCTGAGTCACGCGGGGCGCGGGACTTCCCAGAGTCCGGCCACTCCCAGCCCGCGCCCCCGGCCGGCTGCGGCAGCACAGCGAAACGTCTCGTCCGAAACAAGGGCCATCAAGAATGCTATATGGTACTCCGGTACTTCCCCGTTACGAAAGCCGGCGGGCGTGACGTCACCACGGCCTGGCCGCGAAGCGTGAAATGTTATTGAACAAGTGCTGAGGCGCGCTTTGTCAGCTGGGGTCGGTGGTGTGTGAGTAAGAAGCATAAGTGAGAATCTGAGTAAGAAAAGCTGGGGATGCTGAACTTTTGTGATTGATTGTGCAGGGAAGAAATTAATGTATCCGTTCTGTAGTAACTTATGTGTAAGAACCATATTCCAAAGGTGGGTGACAACGCCTAAATTTCTTACTAAATGTTTATAAGTTCAGGTGCAGAAGGTATTGCGTTGTTCTGCAATATAAACTGCTACAAAAGCAACAACGATATTGGTTTTTGAGGTTTGTTATAAGTGGCGTACGCTTTTATTCGTCTACCAAGGAGGAAGGTTGAGAAGGTTCAAGGTTGAGAAGGTTGAAGCTGGTTTTTAGGGCTGTAACTACATGCGACAGGAATGAAGAGGCCTGATAACCTGACCAAAGCAATTTGAATTCATAGTTGCAGGAAGCTTGCCATTCGCACGTGCCGGTGACAAGTTGTATGGTTTTTATGTTTCTTATGCTTTTTTTTGTTAGCACGTAACACTTTCCACTCGGTTGCCTTTCACTGGTTGAGAGCTTCGTCACAACGCGTTGACTCATATCACTGCGGGCCGCTGATATCTAGATCTGGTTTTCATCCGCATTCCTAATCTTACTGCGACTTGGAGTCTTGCTTTTACCCTGCTACTAAAATAAATGTAAAATTGCACTGACGTTCAACCCTGTAGGAAAACCACATTTAATCAAACGGCCTTCACACAAATGTCTTGACGATGATACGGCGTCTTTCCACCTGGTATCGCTTGGAGTATGTCACCAGCTGTAACCGCCAGGGATATCGACTGGTGTCCCTGGACCAAAACGTCACGTTGGAAAAAAAATTAAGCGCTTATCGACGCCTGGGGCTAGAGCCAACCGGAAGTCGTTGAGTTGAATTTCGTCACCGACTGAAATTTTCACCCACTGTGACAAATACCTCCAAAACAATTCGAATCTTGAAGCGATTTCTGCAGACATCTACGAGCACTACAAACTGGAAATGTTCCTACGAGCGGAGGTTAAAACTCACGCTGAAATAAGCGGAAGTTGGACATGAAATTCTCTGAAAAAATGTTATCTTTTTCAATATGACGTCCTTTCATTTTTTTAACAAAGAAATTCCGGACATTTGTACAGGATTGAATTTCCTATGATATGAAATGTGGTTGATTGCGGCAAATGACGGAACTATTACGGGATATTGCTCTTTGTTTCTTACGGCTATGCGTTTAAACTTTCGTTCTAGCCTAATGCATGAGAAGTTAGCTGCCTCTAGGCATCTTCTCAAAGGCACATATTCATTCAAAGGATTTAAACAAAAAAAAGAAGGATTCAGGCACTCCAGGACTGAAGCCTGTTCGGGATGGAGTACAGCGTAACGGATCGCAAGCACTTCAGGATGAATGAGGCCCCTGAGCTAAGAACTGTCGTCATGACGGCCAACGTTTGATTATTGCCACTTGTCCGACAGCGTTTACTTTACCTTTTTTACTACACCTAACCTTAACGTCGGGGTTTCAATCACGATGCGAACTAGTTTCCATTTTGTATAGTGTTCAGACGCGCGCGGTCATCACATAAATTTTACGTTGGGCTGTTGGATGCCGTTTTCACCCACGTGGTCAGTGAAGAGAGATAGCAGACAGTCCTTGCCAGTCGGTCCTAGGTTTAGCTGAAACTAGGTGACTAAAAAAAAAGCATCCATAATTTTCTGATTTCTCTTCCTTGGATCATCCGGTTACCACACAGGTAATGAAAACCTTAAGGTCAAGGGAAACATGTATAAAACATGATTTTCTCCTCTAAAGGACAAACAATTCTTTCCCCACCAACAAATCATGAAATTCGCAGCGCCGAAGGTTTCAGATAATAATGACAAAATGCGTATCAAACCGGGGATTTGGAAACAAAATAGTACTGTGGTGTATGCCAAAACGCCTTTCGCAGACACTTTATCCCAGGGTGTGCAATTAGCCCCACTCCTCAACTTGGAAGTAGCAGTTTTGTACTTAAACCGGTTTAACGAGCGTGCAGTAAAGGCAACGGCGCCAGTAGCTGAAAACAACAAGGCTCCATCCGATTGGTTCATTTTTGTCAAAATGTGACGTAAAAGGTCCTCCACGTGAAATCCTGCAAAAGGTTTGAGGGAAGGTGGGTCTTGCAAAACATTCGTGGACAAGGCCGCTTTTTCAAATACAAACGCCTCCCAGAAAGGCCGTCAAACGCGAACAAGTCTGGCTCCTGGGCATTTGCCGTGCGGAGCACCATGCGGGGAAGTAGAGGTAATCCAAAACCGACCGCAGAGGGAAGTGGGATCCGAAGAACTCGAATATGCCGAAAAGGAAAGCGAAGTGCGCACGGATGAACTCTGCTTACATATGAGGATGGACCGCCCCGACCTCGACCGGCGCACCGCCCACTGCAACAAAACGCTCGATGAGCTCCGCTTACATGCCGGGATGGGGCGCCCCAGCCTGGACCGGCGCGCCGCCCACCGCAACAAAACGCTCAATGAGCTCCGCTTGCATGCAGGGATGGGGCGCCCAACCTCGACCAGCGCACCGCCCACTGCAACAAAACGCTCGATGAGCTCCGCTTGCATGCAGGGATGGGACGCTCCAACCTCGACCAGCGCACCGCCCACTGCAACAAAACGCTCGATGAGCTCCGCTTACATGCCGGGATGGGGCGCCTCAACCTCGGCCAGCGCACCACCCACTGCAACAAAATGCTCAACGAGATGAGAGCTAGGTACGCCAACAGCCGCAACAGCAGCCATGATTGTACATCGCTATCAAAGCTGACATAGAGCATCTCAAACTACGCTAATGTAAGCTAGCCTAACTTTCTAGCCTGCGTGGTAATATCATTACGTTATATTGAAAGCTGGGAGCTAGAATCGCCTTTGAACTAGGGTGGGAGTGAAAAATTCTACCGCAAAAAGACCGTGCGGGAGTGAAAAAAATCCATTTACAAAAGACGGAACTTATGAGCTCGTGACTGATGCTTCAGCAAACAAAGACATTTATTTCAAGTTGACATGGACCTAATATCAGAAACCTGACAAAACTATTTCGTTTTTTAACATCTTAGGCCATTAAAGTGAAACAGAATACATTAACACGCGCTCGGGTGAGGTGGAGGGCAAATTGCCCCCCCCCCCCCAAGGGCTTTTCCAGAATGGTTTTTGAACGGCGCGGCGCAGCCGCGCCATATTTTGCATAGCTGTAGAAAATTGCATAGCGGATCGTTTGACATACAAATTTTAGATCTACCTTGTAAGGTCGCTGACCTGTGACAGATCAGTCAGCCCATGGTTTTAGCGAAAGCAATTTCTAGGCAATCGTTCAATCTGATAAAACAACGGAATGTTTGACGAAGACATACACATCTGAGATGCTTTCTTAGGCACCACAAATATTGAATGCGCGAATTACGTTGACCTAAGGTCAGGTATGATGGTCAGACCAAGGTCAAAACCAACCGATTTAATACTCTACGTCTTGCTGTATGGGATAGTTTCTGGTGCTCATTTCGAATTTATTGACAGCAGGAACCGCATTATACATTTTCAGTTGACTTCTTAGAGGTCAGAACAGGCCATTGACCTAAGACGACCCGGGTCGAACGTTTTGTTTTAGGAACATACTGCCTAGCGTAATCTTTGTCGCTTATTCAAATGAAAACGCAGAGCAGTCTTGTATCATTTTGGTCACCATGACCTTCAAAGGGTCAAACAAGGTCAATGACCTCAAATGGGCTTGTGACCTTTTGCTTAGAGACAGTTGCCTAGGTTCTGGGGGCGCTTTGGAGACCAACCTGGAATTTGACCTTGTTTGACCTTATTCGACCTGAAGGTCATGACCTAGGAAGCTGAAACCTTAACCTAAGTGAGTTCACGTATAGGTCAAGACAACCCGGTAAATTGGTGTCTCTGCTTCTTAGTTAGTAGAGATCTCAGAGGGGGGGGGGGGGGGGGTTCAAATTGACCACCCCACACCCGAGCGAAGAGTATCTAGGCCGGCCAGCCGAGCGCGTGTTAAAGCGTCAGTAATTTCATTGCAGTACTATGAGCATAACAATTACTAACACCAATAATTTGATCCTGG